TCTTCTGGTTTGGGTGAGGCTGACAGGACTTTCTCCCTACTGATATTTTCTTTCTGTTGCAAGTTTCTATCTGTGCTTGTGAAGAATTTGCAGAGGAGTTGTGAATCCAAGCCAAGTTGTACCACGTTAGCATGTTTTAAGTCACTAATGTTGATGCTTCTCACACAAGGTGGTACTAAAACAGGCTTTTGTTCCTTCAATTTGACTGTTACTTTTTTCAACTTGTGAAAAATCATACCCTGATATGTGCTTAAAGTGAAATTTATTTCTTCAGGACTGTTGTTTGTCACAGATGAATAAATTTTTGAAGTAGAAATACACCACAGATGGACAGAACAGGGATGAGTCAGATTTTTTTGTATTGTTTTTCTTTGTTTCTTCATTCCAGTGGTGTGTGTGGTTTTTTTCTTTATTTGAATGATCTGTCAGATGACACATGCCAAGGATTTCCAGTGAAGTCTTTGTGAGCACATCTGATAAATTTTGGTAGGAAGTCATTGGTCTTGCATTTAGACATCTTGTTTTGCTCACTGAGATTTGCAGTTCCTTCAGCAAAGCAGCAAAAGTGTCAAAGTGTCATCTCCTTGACTGATGCAACTTTCTGTAATCTGAGCTGAACAATGAAGTTATTTTACATTAATAAATAATTATGTCAGAACACGTCATCTCCATTATATGTTTGGTGGTTTTTTTCCCCTTAGGAATTTTGCATTCTCATGTTACTAGTATTTTCCTTTCTTTCCTAAGAAGTTGCTACTATTGCATTCTTGTTTTTTAAGGAATGATACCTAAACTTGCATGTATCCAGCTGGGAGAGAAATGGAGAGGATAGAGGAGAAAACTTTAATTTGTTTACCTGCAAGTCTTTCTTCTTTATAGATGAGTGAGACTGTCATACTTCTCTGTGAAAGGAGGTTGAGGCTAGTCCCAAATGAAATAATTTTTTCAGCTGCAGTGATGTGCTGTGCCTCTCAGGTCGAGTGTCTTAGCTGATGCATCTTTACATAGTGAACAAAACTGTACGAACTATGGTTTGTTCCTTCTGATGTTACCTTTGTGCATTTAATTGTTAGAGTAATGGCTGGCACACTATGGATGCTGATGCTTAGCAAAAAATCTGGTTTCCATTACTTCTTCTGTTAACAGTGTAGCTCAGTTTGGGCTGATGGCCTAATTTTCCAGGGTTAAAACATTTGCAAGCAGAACATCTCTGTATGTGAATCAGGAGCTTCTTTAGCATGTGATTACTTTGGATTTGATAGACACAGGTTGGGCAGATATCACTTTCATGCTTTCTTGATTACTCATGAATTCCAGAGGGTATCTTAGGACAGCACTCATGTGCTCGACATGAGTACTCAGTCTAAAACAAAATGCTGTGGGGTTAAAGAAGGTTAATATTTACAGTGTTTGCAAAGGAATCCTGTGGGTGAACAAATCCAGCATATGGCTTAAATATATTGTTTGCAGAAATTAAGTTTAATGCTTAAAAATTGTAATGCCTAAGAAGCACAAAAGGGGAGATCTCATTTTCTATAAAGAAAATGCAATACCTTGAGTTGAATTCATTGATTACTTTTATGGGGGAACAGATGAGACAGGTAACTCTGTTTCAGAGAGCTAGCAACTTTATTCTTCATAGCCTAAAATGTTAAGGACTTGGACTTTGTGGTCTCAAATGTGTGGCTCTGCTGATGGCCATTGACAGTGTTTAGAAAAAAAAACCAACCTCAGACACAAATTTTTTGTCTCTATTTGACATATATCTGCCTGCTTATTTGTACTGTAAAATGTTAAAGCAACCACAAAAGCATGTGGCTTTGTAATTTACATGGATCATTTCTTTGTCCTTTCCATATGGGTAATCTTGCAGTACATGACAGTTTGACATGAACTTGCTTTATATTGTTGCACAAAGCAATATATTTCCCATGACTGATAAATTGTTACATTTTGTACCTTTTCTTATCATAGGTTAACTGGGGAGAGGGAATTGTCACACTGACTGGCAAAAGCAATGTATATTATGCTACACCCACTCAGTCCCGAATTTGTTTGCTTTCCAATTTGCTGCTGAAGGCTGAGTCATTCCTACTGTTATAACAAATACATATTAGATAAGTTATCGCAACAAAACTGTTTCTCCTCTCTTGCAGTTGATGATAGCAGAAATTTCAGACTCTAAAGTTAAAAACGAGCTCTTTTTAAACAATGAAAGTATTTTAGACTCAATTGTATGAAATACTTCTGACATTGAATACAGCTACTCTTTATGTGAAGTTGGTGACAATTGATGATTACCCAGAAAAAAGTCCTGCTGCTCCTCTTTTTCTTCAGCAATGTTGATGTTAAGTATTCTTTTATTGCCTTCCCTTCAGCAAAGAGAACAAGTACCTGTTTCAGGACCTCGTAAAGGAAACTATAGCAGTAGGATGCAAATCTATGCTTCTCTACCTGCAAAATTATCTTTTTGAGGAGCAGACTGCAACCAGTCTGTATTGGCCAGAGAGACCTGAGAACTGTCCTAGAATTTTAGTAGTAGTTTTTTTAGCTCAGTGACATGTATGTAGGTCTTTTGCATGCCTGAAGACCTTTTCATATCCGAGTCTAAATCCTTGTGATTTCAGTGAGAATTGACATTGCTCTAGCTACTTGATTTCAAAGTTCTCCTCGTTCTGAATAAGTTTTAATTGCTGTTTCACATAGATATTGAGGAACAATTAATGTCAGGGTTTCATTTGCACAATATATCTCAGCAAAAATGCTTAAATTAAAACTTTCCTGTTAGTAGGAATACTGTTACAGGATTGGACCTGGCTCTGCTTTCAGCACTGTTCGTACTTTGTGAGAGCTTAGTTGGATTTTTTTGTGGTACATGAGACTTCTTTCAAAAACTTTTGCTTTCAGTGGAAACCAAATATCTTATTCTTCCAGCCCAGCTTTGCTTTTGTTTTGTTCCTTTTTTTCTTCGTAAGAAAGGAAATTACAGAACATTTATTACATTATTTCGTATTTCTAACTCACTGTTTTGATTTTTGCAGGTTTATCATCCTGCAGCAAAACTACTAAGTCATGACTTTGCCAAATATTAGATCACATTCTTGATATGTGTAATAGGTTTTCGTAATGCGAGGCCTGTAATGGTGACTGCATTATGATTGTAGTAAAAAGATGGAGACGCTGAAGTGCCTAGTTGCAAAATGAGAAGTGTATTTGAATTTTGTAGTTTTGACTACTTTTCATACAGTGTAGTCACTTCCAACTGATGTGAAGGAAGTTGGGCTTAATGTCTAGGCATCTTTGTAACCACGGTGTTACAGCTTGGCAAATACTGTTCTGATTTCTGCCTAGACAGAGCTACCAAAACCTGCTGCTGCCATTAGTAGAGTATATATGGAAATAAAGATTTTAAAATGGTTGCTGCTATCTAAGCCCCAGATAGTAAAATCCATTCTGCTTACATGTGATATACAAATATTTTACTGATTGAACTGCAAGTACTTTAAGCTATTTTTTAGCCTGCTTAAAACACAGTTTACTGAGCTACCTGCTGTGAATATATTTCTCAGCACTTGTGTGTAATGCAAATTGTGGAAAGCTTTATTTATAAGATTTTAAAAGCAGAGAGAGAAAGTTAAAATTATTAGTATAAAGCAAAAAATGCACTAAAAGAGTTGATTTGAATTACTTCAATATACTGGTTACATTTTCATAGTTAACACTTTATTGGGAAAATATTTTTTATGTTTTGCATGAGGGATGAAACAGTTTGCAATCCAGGGGTCTAACTTAGAATTCTAAGTTAACCAGGCTAAATCTAGACAGGAATGTTTGTTTTTATAAGTTTTTAGTTTTTTCAGACAGCAGACAGTCATTGAGGTTAGCAGTGTTAGTAGAAACACACTTGTTTTGTTTTGGGTTTTTTTGTTTGTTTGGGGGTTTTTTGTAGTTGTTTTTTTTTTTTTAAATTCATGTTACAATTTCTTGCAGATAGGATATTGTCACTGCAGACATCTGAGCACTGTGATGGCAGTGGGTGTCTTGATCTGGAAAACTTTGTTCTGATCTCTTTCCAAAACCTGAAGTAACTGCTGTTTCCAGCAAATGCATAAAGGTGGAGTGATGTGCTGTACAAGGAACCAGCGATGTGCTCTGATAGCTAATCAAGCTAATCAGGCTGTCTGTTAGCCAGGGCAGGTTTGTTTCACATGCACAACCGCATGTCTGAAGACTCAGAAACCATCTTGAAGAGGTCTTTCAAGTCAGCTGAGCTAAGTGCAGCATGGGAAGTTTAATACGCTACTGTACTGGGAATCGTTTGATGTCAGAAGGTTATTGCAGATTGCTGTTCAGTGTCTGTTTTCAATTTCTCACTTCTTGACTAAAAAGGATGTTTTTCTTGTACATGTAGGCTTGTTTCAACAAAGGTTCAAAGACCTCCTAAGTACAGGACAAAACACAAACCCAAGAATGCACTTGGAGTGATCGAGTAAGATGGGCTATTGGTCTTGTCTTTAAGTCTCCTAAAAATAAAGTTTGATAGCATTTTTTGGGAGAAATTCTTTGAATTGGAAACACAGGGAAAAAAGTACATAAAGGTAGCTCTGAACTCAAGTCTCTGAGCCTGAGTCTGGAAAACATATCACAAGGAGAAGCACATGCTACTTAATTATATACGAAACATTTTTGTCTCTTCTATTTCACTGAAGGGAGGGAAATCTGAAGGATTAGTCACAACTTGGGAGCAGCCCCACCTTAATTCCATGCCTGAATTAAGTGTTCCTCTCAGTGTCTTTCATTCCTTTGTTGTTGACATCTGTGTTCAAAACCAGGTTATAACTAGAAAGAAAACACAACTAAAAAAAATTCTTTGCCCAGTATTTCTAGTTTAATTTTTCTGTTGCTTATGTATTAATTACTTAAGAATTATTATAGATAAAATAGACTATTCACATGCACACGGATAAAATTAATTATTGTATTTGTTTCTTTGACTGCAGGCTATGGTGGCTTGTTATCCAGGCAATGGAACAGGATACGTGCGCCATGTCGATAATCCAAATGGAGATGGAAGATGTGTTACATGTATATATTATCTTAATAAGGACTGGGATGCCAAGGTATGCAATAATTTCTTTCTAAACATTTTTGTTTGTTTGTTTTAGATATACTTGCTGATGCACCTTCGCTACAGGCATATTTTTTCATGTCCTTATTTCTGTGCCTTAGTTGTGTTCTTACTTTATGTTAGCTGTAGGTGTCCTTTGCCCCCTCCAACTCTGTTGTTAGTGAGAGCAGATAGAGATGAAGTGTTTATTTTCAAGGTTTTGAATTATGCCAGCAGGACCTTTTTGACAGTAAGATTGAAGGAAAGTAGTAAATGCCTCTCCTATACACAAAGACTAAATAAAGAATATATGAAACTGCCTTCGGTTTATTTGTCCTTACAATCCTGTTGAATTGCGAGTTTACTGTTAGATTGCTTAATGGAGTATGCTTAGAAATAGAGAGATGCTTTAGCCTGAGAGCATTTTCAAATAAGGCAAGTGTTACTGTCATTGCTACATCAGTGTAGTTCAAAGCAGCACAAGTCTTTGTATTTTTGTAGATACAGGGAGCAGAACAGATTTATAGCCCAGTTCAAGTGCTTTAAGAGTTTACTACAAAGGAGTATGATGAAGTAAATTTTTAATAAGGATTTTCCTAGAGATTCAGTGGGCTAGGTAGATTTGAAAAATGGGTGTAGCTAAGTGGCTGTATTGAAAGCATGAAAGAGTAATGCAAAGGCAGCTTTAACTGTGCCATTAACTATGGAGAAGTTTATTTTCATTGTGTGTAGGAAAAAAAAGGGATAAAACTACTGATGCTTCTATCACAGGTAGGAAGTATCATGTGGAAGAGCACTAAAAGCAGTCCGTTTCTGTGAATTGCGTGCAGCAGATATGGATAACACAGGCTGCAGCTGAGAGTTTTTATTTTTCTTTTTTTTCCCCTCATAACATACTTGCATGAACTGGTAGATCAGAGAGTTGAGTCAAATGGATGCACTTGAAGCTTTCTGTTTCTGACATGCTCTTTTCATGTCCAATTGGATCCTTCAATTAGAAAATAAATTACCAGCCTTTTTTTGCCGTGATAGTATCTTTGCATATAAGTGCACTGGTTGTACTGAGCATCTTAAAATGCAGCTTTGGGGCATTTCTGGTTGATTTATAGTTTCTCTCCTGGAAAAAAATTTAATACATACCAGAGTGTAGACGTCAAGCAAATTGCATTTCCACAATAACTGTGAAAAATCTACTATCTGGGTATTTTATTTATGAAGAAAGGTATTTCATTTCCTGCAAAATCTATTTTAAATTACAACTTAATATACTACCAAGTATATTGTTTATTGAAGAAGAAGCTCAAACTTTTTTTAGGAGAACAAATGTATCTAAATTGTCATTTGTTTACTGATTTAGAACACAATTAAAAAACAGTCATTTATATCAATTTGCCTTGTTGGTACTTGCACTGTTATGACTCTTATGAAGGCCTATGGTGGCCATCTATAGTTAGATTTAACAACATCAATGCTATAAGTAGGAAGATGTTCGCATGACTTACATATTTAACCCCACCTACTTGTGCTGTTTTCTAGACATACGTAGGTAGGCCCAACTGTTTTCAAAACCTGGAAGAGATTTAAATTGACCATCAGTAATACAGATTCAGGTTTTAGTTCGAAGTTTCCTACTCCTTGCTCATTTTAATTATAGAAACATTACATAAATTTGTGCTGCTGTTAAATGAAATAATACCTTTAATGGAGAAAAGTGAAACTTAGATGTGAAATACAATGTTTCGCTCATCTATACTGCAATACTTTTACCTCAATATAGAGATATATATCTATAGACCGTGTATGTATAATATATAGACTGATAGGTATATATTCTATATATAGACTGATGTTACCTGAAATTACTCAGTGAAAAATGTGTAGAACATTTTATTAAATGCATTGACAGAAAAGTCATAGATTCATAATTTCTGTAGCACCTGATAAAGACTTTTGTTTCAGTTCCAAGTGTCTTAAATATTTTCAAATCTGATACTTGGTACTTTTAAATACGAGACATTGTTCTCAAGCATTGCTTTTAAATACTTAATTTGTAGGTAAGTGGAGGCATCCTTCGGATATTTCCAGAAGGTAAAGCCCAATTCGCTGATATTGAACCCAAATTCGATAGACTGCTATTCTTCTGGTCTGATCGCCGCAACCCTCATGAAGTACAGCCAGCCTTTGCTACAAGGTAGGACTAATGGACTCTCTACTGCATGATGCCTGTTTTGTCAAGAAATGAGCAAATTCTAATGAGAAATGAGTGACACTGTGAATTATGACCTCACAAAAAGGTGTTTTGTTTTTTTTCCTCTGGGTGGATGATTAGGCTTCCACTGTGCTGCTGAGTTTGTAGTGACGCCTTATCTATTATTTTGGAGAAAGGTGGGAGGACTGGAAACACTAGAAGTTGCTATGTGTGCTTGGCCCAACTGGGTGGGAGCACGCAGAGCCAGGAGCAGATCTCAGCTAAAGGATGTTGTCTTCATTATTTCCTGTAGTGGCTTTACACTCTTCTCCCTTTCCTTTGTCCTTAGGACCTTCCTGTGTTACTGGAAGATTGACTAGGTACTTCAGCTTTATGTCCCCTCTTGTTGGGAGGGACCTGTCAGAAAACAGTAATTTCAAATTAAGCTACCATATGCTAGTTTGGGAATTGGGAGAGAGTTATGGGGCAGAAACCACCATGGATACATAAATCTTTTGAGTATTAGAGGAGTTGCTCCCAGTCTGAGGCATAGGGGAAACTGCATATCTCCTTTGTCCCTCACTGCAGGGCAGTGGATGATGCTAAAGGTACCCTCATTCACTGCCCACATGTGATGAGTAACATTTCCAGATAGCATTAATATTTAGCATTGGACTCGTTGATCCAAGCTTCTTGTTGCCCATGTTCTGACGCATTTGGATGGCCAGAGGACTGGAGCTGTGAGATAACAGAAGTACCTCTGGGAGAAGTAACTTGAAACTGCCTTCCGTGCATCCTCTTGCAGCCTTTCAAGAAGCTGTACTGCTCTCCCCTCCCCCTTTGTGCTCCCAGCAGAGTTAGAGGGTGAAATACCATTTACTAAAGCTCCTTAAAGTCTTTTCTCAGTAGCTGGCATTTTGTATTTAAATCCCCTACAAACAGCAGAAGAACAGAGGACCCATGATAGTTAATTGTTCCTTGTGCCAAATGTCCAAAAAAACAGGTTTTTGCATTGTAACTCAGTGATGGACTTGACCTAGTAAAAAGATGGGATCACAGGACAAGGTGGTATAGGCAGAGACTTCATTACGTGTGCTGGGCAAGAACTGTAATAGCAAACTCATTAGGAAAAAGAAGTGTAAACTTAAAGCACCAGTGTCACCCCTTCAGTGACTGTTCAGACAATATCTACTAATAGGAAAAAAACCCAGAACAACCACTTGCTTTCTGAAAACTGTATTTTATCAGAGTGCAGAAGTATCATCTCATTTAGATTGTGTTTCATGCCAAGTGCTTCACTGTTCTTTTTCCTTTGATTTCCCTAGGTACGCAATAACAGTGTGGTATTTTGATGCAGATGAAAGAGCACGAGCTAAAGTAAAATATCTAACAGGTAATCTCTTGTTAATATCTTCTCTATTGTTTGTTTTTTCTTGGTGATAGAATAGCTAAGTAGTCTAGCCTCATGTCCTTGCCTCACCCCATGCACAAACAGAGGGAGAAATCGGCATAACTCAAGAATCGGGTTTTACAGGGAAGGGTGACCCAAGGATTGAACTCCTAGGCAGAGATTGGGGAAGAAATCCAGGTCAGTGCCTGTCCTGCTCACACTTTTCTCTGAGACCTGAGGCTGCTCAGTATTTTTACGTGGGGGACACAGCTTCCCCCTAGTCTTGTCTGCCTAATAGGTGTGGAGAATACTGCAGAACTGAGAGCCTCGAAAATAGTTTTGATTGACTGTAGTGATTCAACAAGTGAATACAACTTCACATGACTAAAATTTTATATTGGAGAAACAAAAGCCTAAAATTAAAATCTGGAATCAAAGAATGGAGTTACTTCCTCCATTTCCAATTTCATGTATCTAGCATCTGGTTTCCTTTTCTGGCTTCTCCCTCAAGAGGAAGTTGATCTAATTTTCCTGTTCAAATTAGCATTATAAGGAGAAATGGTCTAGAACTTCTGCCATGCTTGTAATTGCCATCACAATTTTGTGTTTGTTACAGTAGTTTAAAAAGAAACGAAAATTAGGTGTATTTTGTGTACCACAAGTGCACACATACATGGAGTTTTGTCAAGAGCTCTGATGCCAATGATGTTGAAGACATGTGCCAATCATTTCCAAATGATACTTCCATGCAGTGCTGCTAGGTGTCTGAAGCTCCTAAGTAGCCTCCTAAGAGCTGTGTAGCAGCTCTGAAAGCTGCAGTTCAGTTCAGTCCCCCTTGGTGCAGCTGGTGACTGTGTATTTTGGGAGTAGTAAGAGCAGTGCAGCTCCTGCCTGGCTTGTGAAGGGAGCCCCTCAACTCCAGCCAGGTAGGATGTCCCATTGCTCCATGGCACATGCCTGGCAAAGCACAGTGACTTCCTAGGCAGTCAGGAGTGACAGATAACGCCTTCCTCTCTCCACAAGAAGCCTTTCTATCTCTGAGCTGGCCTTCATGTCACAAGTGTGTGATGGTGCAGCTCCTGGAGCTGGCTTTACTGGGTCAGAGCTCTGCTGTTGCCTCTGCACAGCTTCTCTGCCCTTTCAGAGAGAGTGCAGGGAAGTGGTTTGGGTGGGCTTGCGCCTGATGGGAAGGTGCTCCCTCCTCTACCCCAATCCCAAGTGCCCTAAACTGTTGGTACTTAAGGAAGGAAGGCTGGGTTGTTTAAATGTCACAGAACCACAGAATCAATTAAGTTAGAAAAGACCTCTGAAATCATTGAATCCAACCTTTGACTGAACACCAGCAGGTCAACTAGAACATGGCACTCAGTGCCACATCCAGTCTTTTCTCAAACACCTCCAAGGATCGTGACCCCATCCATTTCCTGGGCAACCCATTCTATTTTTTAATCACCCCTTCTGTGAAGAAATTCCTCATCCTCCTTCAGTATGGGTTTGCCCTGTAACTGGTTTATATTACCATAATGTTGTGTTTTCAGTTGTCATTTGCAATTAAAATTGTGTTCTTTGCTGTATATCTGTGGCAAGAATTGTGCAAGATGCTTTTTATTTTCTAGTGACAATAATGTATAAAATTATAGAATAAAATGTCGTAAAATAGAAAACTTCATATTTGGATTAGTGTCAGTCTAACTAAAGCCATGCAGAATACTGTTTTTTTCTTGAGTATGGGATATTGTGTCTGTTAATGTTTTGATAGTCAAACTTTATTTGTGGTGACCTGAATAGGTCAATTTTTAGAAAAAGGACAGAAGAGATGCGCATTGGTTGGTGGTCAGATGGAATGTTGCATTTTAAAAATCCCTCAGAGATTTTTTACCGAGGTAAATACCGAGAAGCTCTGGATGTTCTGATACAGAATAATGGGCAGTATCCTCAGATTCTTAATTGTCCGTTCTTAAAGCTTACCTTTATAAGGTCTGAGATGCTGAGCTTCAGAACTGCACATATGGTGTGAAGTATCCACTTCTCTGTGTGAGCAGCCAAATATGTGCTGCCTTTCAGAGAGGAAGAGTAACCATGGCTCGTTAACTTTACACAGTGCAGGATACAGAGCATATATACAAAGATACCTATCTTGCTAGATCATTTGTACTAAACCGTCTTCGAATTACTCTCTTAAAACTAATCTGGACAGTGAATGTAGCAATTGTAAAGACTGTACTTTGATAAATGCTGAAAAATAATACTGATTTCCTTTTCATATTTCTGCAGGTGAAAAAGGTGTGAGGGTTGAACTTAATAAACCTTCTGACTCAGTTGGGAAAGACGTTTTATAAGCCTTTGATTTAGCAACTCCCTGTGCTATTCTCCCTGATAAATCTTGATGCTATCTATTAACTTTTGAATGTGAATAACAAGATAAAGGAAAATCAACAACAAACCAACATCTTAATAAGGAAGCAAACAGTGTTTCAATGTTGCATCAAATAGAAGGTTCTTTGACTGCTGAAGCATTGTACTATGTGATTGTGACTCCAGGCCTGTGACTGCTTATGTGAAGAAGATAAGCAATCAGTAAGAAACAGCATATGCATCTGGACATAAATAAGTGCCCTACATAGAATTTGTCCATTCTTATATTTTGCCAGACCTGTCATCCAGCTGAATCCATTTCATCTCTCCCTTTTTTTATATGGTAAAAGTTTGAATTTTGGGTAATTTTTGTATGACCAGGTACAGTTTATCAAAATTGAGTCTTAAAAAAAAAAAAAAGAAAAACTGAAAAAAAAGGAAAAAAATTACAGTATTCTCCAAAATAACATGGATCTATTTTTGTAAAACTGTTCATACTGTTCTCCTCTGCCATGAAAGACCTAATTTAATGTAAGGGTTGCCAGTAACTGATAATCACTTTAATTTTCTTTACACCTTAAGTCAGAAAAAGAGCACTTTAATTACCAGCTAAAAACCTGATTGTTTTATATCATATCTCACACTAATCTTAACTTTTAAAGATTGCTGCTGTATTGTTTTTTTGACTATGTTCTCTTGAACCTTATTAACAGAAGCAAATCAGTATCTCGCTATTAGTAACGTTCAGTTTGTGGTTTTGTATGTTGAATCCACAGAGGGGAAGTTTCTGTTTCTTCTTTGTTTTGGTTTTTTTTTTTTGGTTAGGGTTTTTTTGTGTTTTTTTTTATTTTTTAAGTGACTGGCACTAAGTGAACTTGACACTATCGGTTGCTGTCATTGGCTTTGGGGACCTGGTAAATACCATCAAGTTACAAGTATATACAAGGGCTTTCCTAGGCTATTAGAGGTACCCAGAACCTCCTTACTTACTTGACAGAAATTTTTGAGCTTTCTCCCTTTTCTAAAAAATACTTGCCACCCCTCTTTCCTTTGTATATAAGTTAATAGAATATCTAAAATTCCCTTTTTTTAATTTCCTTTTCAAATATTTGTGTCCCGCGCAGTCTGTTAGTTGACACCTTGATCTATTATATAGTATCAAGGAAATGGTCAGCACACTGAAGCTGAAGTGCATCACTCTGTAGGCTCCTTGTGCAATACATCTTTAAGTTTTCACTGTGCTGAAGGATTTCCCCAAAAAGGCACGGCCCTTTGACAAATACTGAGGTAAATATTTAGTAAGAAAACACTTACTTTCTATTACATTGTTTTCATTTTATCAAGGAGAGGGGGCATCACAGAGTAAAAGTGAGATGTGCAGAAACTTCGATATTCTTATTTTTAAGAAATTGATATTTTGGACACTGATTTTTTTTTTCTTCTTCTTCTTCTTTCCTTTATTTTTTCTGAGCTTTAAAAGCTTGAGAAAACAAAAGCAAACCTATCAAAAACAGCATTCATATTTACAGGAGTTTCGGGGTTGATCAGCTTACCCACTGCAGTTTTCTATCTGTTCCTTATTTCCTTACTTAGCCAAAACAATGTGAGTGTACAGAAATATTTCTGTATATATTACAACTTGTGACAGTTTTAGCATCTGTATAGTTTGTATTCAATTAGAAACCTTTTCTATGGAAAGCTCAGTAATTTTTTATTAAAAACATTACTATTGTTCATGTAAAACATGAAAAAGCTAATTGTTTAGTAACAAACTGACAGAAGGGGGAAAAAATTCAGTATTGGTATATCATTTAGGAGAACCAACAGAAATCCCAGTTTTGTTTTGATTTCGCTTTTCCTTTTTTTAGTAAGTTCTTGCCCTGTACAGTTCTCTTCGTCTTTCCTCTTTTCTTCCCAGAAAAACAGACAGGATACTTTACTGTAAGTGCCTCTGCCAACCTGGCCAAGGAGTGCAAATCTTCATTACTGTCTGGTCTGCAGTGCATTTAGGTTACTAATAAAACAAGCAAAAAACTCGCCTCTTCTACTTCATCTTCTTTAGTACTACTTTAACAGAGGTTTTTTTGTTTTTGTTTTAGAAATGTAAACATAAGCCTTTAAACTCATTTCAGTCCCTCTGTAATTCAAACTGCTGCAGTTAAACAGCGTATCAAATTCTAATTACACTGTAGGTTTGTGCTTGCCGGACAGGTTTAAAAAGTGCTTAATTTTTCACTCCATGTAAGTCATTACAACAGGGTCAACAAATCAGGTCAGCCATTTCTTCCATGTCCTTCAGAAACTGTTCATTTCATGTCGGTTGAATATTCAGTCTTGAGCATCACCAAGCAGGTCCTTGTTTTACAACTATTTTTTAAACTGTCTTATGATCTGTATGTGTCTAGTCCTGGTTAAAAATAAAGCTTCATAATGCTATTTTTATTCATGATGTTAGCTGGCTGTGAAATACGAGACCTTTATCTATAGCAGGCGAAGAAATTCAGGATTCATTTACAGGTTGCCTATAAAGTTGTGTAATTTCAAAAGCAGTGTTCATTATGAAAGAGCTCTCAAGTTGCTTGTAAAGCTAATCTAATTAAAAAAGATGATGTATAAAGGTTCTTGAAAGCTATGTGATTATTTGTAATCTTTGTAACTTTTAAAACTACCCTGTAGCAACAAATTTATAAATGCCCCCTGATTAAGGGGGTATGTGAAATTTTGGTTGTTTTGTGGGGGGTTTTTTGTTTTGTTGTGGGTGTTTTGGTTGGGATTTTTTTGTTTGTTTTAGTTCTTCTGTTGTTGTAGGTTTGTGGGGTTTTTTAAAATCAGAGCTATTTCTGCTCTGGAGAAGGATCTGGGTTTTTTTTCTCTAGACTGCCTACAGTTACCTGGGTGTGGTGATCATTTTCCTGATGATTTCCTCCCTCAAAAACAGGACCATGTGTGGGCTTTCTGAAGAGTGATGATGGACTTAGAGTCAGCTCTAGTTTTTCCACCACTTTTGACAGATATGTGAGGTGGAAAATCAAAGTCCTCTTAAAACAGGATTTGTAAGGTTTAATGGGAGCTCCTCAGTTTTACATGGCTTCCAATGAATTCTGTGCCCTTCAAAGATGACAGAAGGTCAGAACTGGAAAGATCACATCTCTGACATACTGATTGATACAATCAGACTGAAAAGGACCATTTCTGTGCATGCCAAATGCTTTGAAAAAGAGATGAGAATGCCAAGTGACAATAGCAAACTCAAAGTCTCAAAACTCCAGGAGTCTAGCATGTGAACCTTGCCTGCAGGCATGCACATAGCTGCATGCACTTGCAAATACCTAGTGGGAATTTATGAGTACTGAGCAGCAAAGACTTCGAAGAAATTCGTGGCTCTTACGTGGATTTGGATGTCATCTGCTTGGGGAGAATGGGAGTAGAGGTATGAATCTCTGGGTCTCCAATCATCAGGTTGTTTGGGGGTTTTTTCATTTTTCAGGTAAAGCTTGAATGTAAGTAATTACTGCAAATGCATTTAAGCCTGTTTGTTCAGGAGCTGTGTTCGCTCTGGAATGTCTGCTGCATCAGAGTTGCTTGACCTTGTGTGTTAGGGGTGGATAGCATGTGGCAGAAGCAGGTTTCAAGGTCCAATGAGGAATATGGGACATGAAAAGTGAAAATATGCTATAGGTGTCCACTTTGGTAGAGACATGAAGTGTGAGGAGAAAGAATACATAATGTGTTTGCCTCGGGAAAGACAGTTGTTGATGCATCATCTATTCTTCCTCTTCATGGATGTGTGTTGCAAAAGATGAGATGTTCATAACTAGAACAAGGAGCTGGTTTCCTTGTCTGTATTCCAGTAGTAAGTTGCTGGATTTTGGGGACTTTTTTCTTTATTAAATGTGCAGTTTGGGATTGAGCTTTCGTTGACAATAGTTTATGGGTTCTTGTGGAGAATTTACTGTAACTACATTGTATATAATGTGGTGATAAATGCTGGCAGAGGTGACTGGCTCATTCAGCCTACAAGCCCAGTACCAGCCTCTTCACATGGCTAAAATTTTGCAGGGCATATCTCACATCAGAGTGGAGAGGGATGTAAAACACACAGATGAGTTAACACTTGCCAGCGTCACACACAGGCAAGTTGTACAAGGCACACTGCTTCAGGGCAGTGTCTACACTGAAAACTAGTATTTCTTTCAAATGCTGTTGGAGACGGGAAGTAAAATTTCATCTGTGAATATTCACCATGTGGATCCAGTACTCCTTGTGGGCCTGTACGTGTCAGTGTGGTTTGCCAGGGTGGAACCAGTTCCTCTCCTGGGTTTGTTTCAAGGGCTGATGTGGTTCAATTTTATTTTTGCTTTTAACTAAAATACAAATCCAAAATAACTAAAATGTAGAGATTTGACTCCTACTCACAGATAAAAAGCCTAATACCCGAATATTCTGTTGGGTTGTGAGATGGTATTTTACCTCCTAAAGAAAGCAAGGGTCAACCGCAAAGCCAAGCAAAAAAATTATCAAAACTATCACTGTCACTTCTGTTGTAAATGTGTCTTGCTTACATTGTTTTATGTAAGCAAGCTTTATAAATTTATTAATAAATATTGCATTATGCAGAAGACATGGTGGCAGACCTAAAGAACAGAAGAAAACAGATTTTGGAGCTTGATTAATTGCTGTTGCAATCCTAAGAAGTTTTTTCGTGCAGTAAGATAGAGGAAACGTGTCAAAAACCCCCAGCAACAAACTAAACACAACCACCCATAGACCTGGAAAGTGCAGTCTTAGCTGTTGGTGGGTGCTGTACCATGGGTTACTGGAACTGAAAGATACTTCAGAACTGTTTTACTTTGAGCACTTGGCAACATCTTTGGACATCAAGGAGAATGTATTTCTTCAGGGAAAATATGACTCTGGACACCAGTAATGCTTGCCAAAGGGCCATGGGTAATAACAGTCTGTTTTCTGAGATTAGAGTCCAGTTGATGGTGTTCCCGATAGCAAAGAGCGAGGTTTGAGCTGTCACATTAGGCATATTTATTTTCCCTTAACTTCCGCTTCCCCAGCCACAACATAATAGTAAGTAATGTGGTGCTGGGCACGTGTTCTGCATAGTCATATTTTAATGAACAAGCAGAAACTGTAAGCTAACTCTCTTTGGTCCTAAATATTTGTTATATGTAGAAGAACTCTTCAATGGGTGTAGGTAGCAATTTCTAAACTACTTTGATTATTTTTTCCCACCTGCACTGTGAGAACATTTTAGCTTTGATTTTTTTCTTTTTGATGATTTTTTTTTAACCCCTTTATTTAAAATAGCACAGTAGGAAACGACTGTGTGTAGCTGAGAGTTCCTGCGACTTCGCTACCATGCAATGTTATGCAATGACATGAGCAGGGAGGGCAGGTACTTTACAGTAAACCCAGGGCTTATACAAACCCAGGAGAGGAGAGGGGCTGCAGGGGGCCACCTGTGGCCGGGCTGTGACCCGGGCACCGGGAGTGGGATGCAGAAATGCTTCGGGCTCCTGCTTGCAGGGCCGGCTGGAAGGGAGAGTGAGTGCAGCCCCTCGGTGTCTTGGCCAGGACCAGGCCACGCCTCAGAGCAGAGGAACACGTTCTGCAGGTCCCAGAGGTGACAGAGAGACTTGTGGCCCTTTGCAGGTGGAGGACATTGTGCGGCACAAATAGAAGTTATTTTAACCTGCAGCAATCAAAGGTGGTGTGTTTTGGTTGGGAGGCTTTTTGTTGCTGTTCGTTACGATGGTGTAAGCTCAGGTTTAGATATTCAGCTTTATCTAAGACTAAACAGCCACCGGTGAAAGGATGGAGGAGCAGGGCAAGTGGGAAGTGGGTGCTTACACCTCCAGTGCTTGCAGTAGGTTTGAAAATTTGCTCAAGTTTCCTCATGCAAGAGTGTCTGGAGAGCAACCGCTCTTCTTCTGACCTCCCCTTGTCATTTCTGTTCCCACATGTGCGCGGGGGCTTCTGGCCCCTTGCTAACCCCATACTTTTGCATCCTTCCATGGCTCCCCTAGCATTGTTCCACCTGCTGTCAGTCAAGCTGCAGGCTCTTTTGCTCTGCCCCTTGGGTAGGGGTTGGATTAAACTATAACATACTTGGCTGAGGAAAATGTTTGGGGGTTTTTTATGTGCAAAATCAGCTGGCCACGGCCTGGTGGCTGCCTTTCCAGGTGGTCAGGGGCTATCCAAGGTCTTGGCTGAGATTTGCACAAAATGCCTCAAAAGGAGTGACTACCAAGTCATGGCCAGCAGCGTAGCCTCGGGCCGAGTTGGTGCTGCCTGACAAAAGCTCAGTGTGCCAAGCTGCTGACCATCCCTGGGAGGCCAACTAACCTTGAATTGCTGACGGTGCTCCTCCTCTTTTGGCAGAGGTAGCAGGGTTATACAGGACACAACTGAACTGTAGCAGTTCATGGGACATACCCTTCACCTGGCACTCAGTTCAGCATGTCTTAACCATGCAACAACCACCCAGGAGCAGCTTCACACCAGGCTTGGATAGTCTTTCTGTTGAAAAAAGGTAGAGAGAAGGAGACTGAAAACTGGTGCAGGATTCACAGACAGGACACGCACTTGTCAATCTCCAGAAAATGGTGTCACTTCAACACAAATCAACAACCACATGTAAAAATACACTCAGGCCTGGGATCAAACCATCCTATAACAACTCATAGCCGAGTGAGAATGGCTGCCCAACAACAGAGACCTCCAATCCCTCTCCTGTTCCTGAAGAAGTTAAGGCAGTGTTTCCCTCATTACCTGCTGCACAGCATGCACGGACTGACTGTGACCCTCTGCACAGTTCAGTGCCTGCACAGCTGAGGATACAAAGCATTGGTTTGGGGTGGGAACATGCCACTGCAGAAGTCTCAGGGAAGATAACATTTCTAGGTCCTGTACAGGGATTAAGAGGAAAGCAAGATTAAGGCAACAAATTTTCAGGATTTTCCTCCAAACTGAGGTCTCCATTCCTTTGGTGGATGCTTGTGTCCATAATGCCTTGCAAACAGCTCTAGGGTCACGGTATTGCCTACCACTTGGGACATGTGTCTGCTTCAGCATAACTGCATTTCATGACCCAAGTGTTAGCCCAGATGTTAGCAGTTGGGTGTTGTCTTAACTGCCACATTGTATGGGAAATGTTGTCTGGTAGCTATTTCCTCTCATAGGATGATTTTCCTGCATTCTAATCTCTTCTAGGTACCTTCAAGTTAATTAAGTCTGAGTTTTAATTCATGCTGTCTGCAGGGCTGATAATCCTCCCTCCCTTGTGTGACTTGGCAAGGATTCAGCAATTAGTCTTGGCAGGGCAGAGGTTCCTTGTACCTGTCCTTGTGTTGGGGCATGTGCTTGGCTCCTGCCTGAAGTCCCCCAGTCTCTGATGCATGGGATGGGAAATTTATCCCTCATCCCCATGGTCTGGGTGGTGGCAGTGATGAGAGCTGCCCATGCCAAACCTTATAGGGAGAGGAAGAAATGCGTGGCTGGAAGTCAGCAAAGGGTTAGAGATGGTGTGAGCACTCCTGGGCTGTGCCAGCGCAAGGGCAAGCAGGTGGATCCTTATTTCCTTCAGCTGTGATTTCACTTTGTCCTAAAGTGCTCCTAGGGTTTTTAGGCAGAAACCCAGGGCTATATAGGTGGGAAGAGGCTCCTGGAGGTGTTCTGGTCCAGCTCCCCGGCCCTTGACCAGGGTCACTCAGATCTGGCTGCCCAGAACCATGTCCAGTTGGGGTTTGAGTATCTTCAAAGGATGGAGACTCCACAACCTCTGCAGGTAACCTGTTCCTGTGTTCAGCAATCCTCACTGCAATGAAGTGTTTTCTCATATTTAAATTAGATTTCCCATGTAGGTACTGCTAAATGCAAATCAAATAACCCAAAGTTTCCTTAGCAGCATATCCTGAGGAAGACAGCAGATTTCAGACTGAAGTCCATTACTAACAGCTGTCCATACTCCACCTGGTACAGGTGCTATCCTTTCTGAAGTCTCGGGGGTGTTGATTTATCCTCAGGATGACTCTTCCCTTTGGACGTGTTTCCGTCTGCCAGAACAGCCTAGAATTTGTGCTGTGTCCTTCCACAGACATGTTACCTGGAGCAGCCTGTGCCGAGCCATGTGGTCCTGTCACACACCAGGGAGTTTGCCTTGCTGTTGGTGCTGTGGGCAGGCTGTGTCCCACCCTGCACTGGCTGCAGACAAGTGCTGCAGAGGCTGCCCTCACATCTGCAGGTGAGCTCCCTCTGAGCAAGTTGTTAGCACAGCTTTTTAGCTTTGTGTATCCCTCCAAACACAACCCACACGCTCCTGGTGAATCATAAACTGCTTACAAACCACTGGCAGCACACCCACCAAACAGATCCTCTAGGGAAGAAAGCAGGTCATTACTGGGATGCTTCTGGGAAGAGACCAGAGCCAGTGGGAAGGCAAAGGCAGGGGAGTGAAGGACTAGAGAGGAAGTGGAGTAAGAGCAGAGAGGCCCTTTGGCTGTTCCTGCAATTGGTAAGTTGCTTAATGAAGTCACGAGAAGCACTAAACCATGTTCCTATAGCTCAGTACCAGGGCTTACTGAGCTCTAGCCCAGATCTTACCCCAGACTTTCTATGCCACTAGTGACAGATCTCTGAAGAGAAGGTACTTGCAGCGAACACAGAAATTACGATCCAAAGGTTGACATCAGTTACAGAAAAATAAACACTGCTTCTAAATCAGGCAGTGGTGGAGTCAGATACTTGGCTTGTTGGGGTTTACCCCTTCAAACATTCTTTGTTATGCAGTTTAGGAAATGTCGAAGACTTACTACGGAATAAAAGCAGGTGAAATGATGCGAACGATAGAGGATGGATGGAACAGAAACAGTGCGAGCTATTCAGGCCAAGTTGCTGCACCTGCTTAGAAATTTAATCTAGTCTTAAAGCAGCCTGACCTGGCAGAAGCTAAAAGGAAACACAGGAATTAAGGCCATGGCTGAGTCCCATTTTAAGCTTTCGCACCTGTAGTACACTACCCTTCCCTGAGCCTGTCACACCCCTCCAGCTCCCTGGCTTAGCTGGGGCACAAAAGTTAAATTTGGTGTTTTATAAGCCTCTCTGACTTCCTAAAACTCTGTCCTGCCTCTCTTGCAGAGCTGTGTTGATGCCAAATGGTAACAGAAAATTAGTTTTGTCACTGCAATGGATGCAAGTGGTGCTGTAACTGTAGCCCACAAAAGGATGCCTTTGGGGTTTCTCATGAGTCCCGAATTAGAAAAAGGAGCTACTCTCTCATCTTCCAAGTCCCTCTTGCAGCAAAGCTAAAAGCATCACTCATAGAACACCCAGTTAGTTGTAAATTTACTTCTCATCTTCCAGCCAGTTGCAGATATTCCCTCTCTCCCCCTCCTTCCTCCTCCCTTAACTTGTTGTGGTTCAGTCAGGGTTCCTACTGATCCATGGTCAGCCTGGAGTGCAGATGTAGGTGAAATACGAGCCTGCTAATCTCGCACTCTGAGCTCTCTTCCCGCATAGGTCAGAGAGGAAAAGTAAGTATTCTTTATGTGCAAGGAGTGCCACCTAACGGCCTGCTGTAGAATCCCAAAGCTCCACACAGCCCGGGGTCTTGGCATTTTTTTCCCACAGATACGAGTATTTGAAAACACGCACATGTAGGGAAATGCAAGTCTCTTTCAGGGCCTGTCTACCCATAAAATACACTTCAAGGGTAATTTTATGTAGAGTCTTTATGTTCACATGGAAAAAAATGGTTTCCTTTAAGCCCAAGACTTCAAAACAGCTGTAATAATCCAGATGCAAGTAGGAACTTGGGCATTTCGGTCTGGAGTGTAAAATTGATGAATGCCAGCTAACTGGTAAGAAGCAGGCAGCAACAATCATGCTCATAAGGAGATGTAGGTCAGGTGTAACCTCAGGTCAGCCAGTCCAACCTTTTAGTGGCCTTTCAATTGAAGGTGGCAAAATGCAACAGCATGGATATGGTGTTCTAGGATGACCAGAGCCAGCAGTGATGAAGCAAACTCCTGTGGTGGCAGTTTCTTAACATTCTCCAGCCAGAGGAGTCTGCATCATCCCGCCATCATCATGAATTAAACTACTTAGAAGAAATGTCCACCTGTCTTTTTCCTCAGAAACTCACCATTTATTCTTTCTTGCTGTTACCCTTCAGTACAGTGTAACTTGCTTTACTTGAAGGATGTATAGACATGCTGTGTGTATGGAAAATACAACAGAATTGAGGAGCTCCAGAAGAACACACGAGGAAGAAGGAAACCCCCCCAAACCATTTAGTCTGTGGCATGTCCTCCTGCTGCAGCAAGAGAAACTTGCACCTCAGGATTTATTCACTACTTGTCCAGTTATGACTAAGCCCTCTCTAGCCTTTGATTTTGTACTAGATTATTACCTGGTGTCCTTCATCACTAACACTGGACCAGAGGCAGATAGCACAGCCTGTTCCAAATGAACAATATTTCTCTGGTTGTTCTCTTGGAAAATATTCCTAGAAGGGGGGCTCAGGTAACTGATTCCTGATTATAGAGTCTGGGCAGCAGCACTTGCCCTGCCTGGGGTGCTTCCACCTAGATGTAAATAGCCCGCTCATCAGCTTATGCATGGGCATTAGGGTTGAACTTGCTGTGAGAATATGCTTCCCAGGTGACCCAGATATCCTAGGAGAAAACAAATAGTGACTGGACTACTGGAGATGCTAAAGGATAGAAGAATGCACATTATTGCTTTTAAAACATGTTAGAAAGCAGACTATTTCTATTACGTATCTTCTTGCAAGATAGTAAGGCATTGTAGTAGTCCAGAGAAAAAATTCTTCCCCCTGCTTCATCAGAATTCAAGTTTTAAGAAAACTTCCTAGATAATGTTTCCATAAAAACACTTGAAAATATTTGACCTTCAAGATTTCTTGCCTGATAAACCAGTTTCAGGGCAACTCGAAAGCAGTCTCTTATAATAATGAAAGAGCTAAGTAACCCCCATTTAGGTAGTTTAACCTCTAGAACTCTTCTCTGAATCATTCAGAGCAATTCCAGTAGATCACCACAAAATGAGAAGGCTTTTGCCTTTAGTTTGCAGAACCATTTGTTGACAAACAGCACGCACACACTTGACCCTTTTTCATACTTGCTTTGTCCCAGAAATCAAGTCTATTAACTTGTTTCTCAAATTTCCAGTCAGGCAACTTAATGCTGCACTTTGGTGAAGCGTGTTTGTCCAAGACTCATTACCAGCTTGCGTTGTTCTAGGCAGTATCTAAATTCACTCAGGACAAAGTCAACTGATAGAGAAGATGAAATTTCTCACCCTTGACCCAAACTGAGCAACATATTTTAAAACTGTACTGGTAGTCGTTATCACTGTGGGTGGGACACTGTATTCAAGAACATTTTACAGAAACAGCATTTGTAGTAACATACCCCAAAAGAGGGGAGCCATGACACATTACTACTAGCCTGCAATGGCAACTGCAGAGCCTTTCTTTCCAGATAAAAGGAATCTTGGCATTAGAATAACTTCCTTGTAAAAACATGTAAGCAGAGGTACTGTTTTTCCACAGCTGGTCCAGAACTGCTCAATTGTTTGGACAACAGATCTATTTTAGGACATTTGTATATTAGATACAGAACTTGCCTATAGCTTGAGTTCCCCTCTCCCTACCTTAACAGGCTATACTATTCACTAAATTCCCCAGGCCAAATCTCACATTTGTTTTCTATTTGTTGTTCAAATGAACAATTTAGAAGTAAAAGAAGACATTAGGGCAAAAAACCAAACCACATTTAACAATACCCACAATCCTTCCTTCTCCTTTACTCTTATCTGTCACAGTAGGAAAGACAAATGAGGAAACTGATGTGAACAATCATAAGGGAAATATCTCTCAAAAGTGCTTCATATTGTGAGAGACCCTTTGTGGTGCAAATCTTGTCCTCACCTTAAAAACATATGACAGTAGAAATACTTCTGGGTAGTCCCATCCCTACAAATGTCAAATCTCACTGGCAACACTGATAGATGCTGCCGTTTTAGGATGGAAGTATGGAAAATTAACATGGCAAATCAAGATTTAGAATCAGTATTTGTAAAATTTTTCACAGAAGTGCAACAAAAGTGAAACTGTTTTAAAAATAGGTTGGAAAAGCAGAATTTGATGCAATCTGTATTCACCAGCACCTGTTTTTACAGGGAAATTTAAGAAGGAAAAGCATTAAATCAGAAAGGTTCTATTAAACCAGACTGTTACCAGATATACAGAAGAACCCACTGGTAAGTAGCACAAAATAGCCAGGCTTAATGGAAATTTAAAATTCAGTAACAATTTATTTAGAGTAGGCAAGAACAAAACTATTTACATTAAACTTCTGTAGTGGCATTATTTTAAAAAATACAAAATGTTTAAAAAGAGTTAAGAAAGCAGCAAGTAATGAGGCAAAATGCACAAACCAGGCTGATACAGCCACTGAAAATGACAGCAGCAAGATATAAAACAATTTTGCTTAAAAACTGTGCTAAAACAATTTTATGTTTAGGCAAACATATTTACAGTTTTACAGGTGAGGTATCAAGCTATTCAATGTTTAACCCGTTAAATACTTTAGTGCAACAAGAGAACTATTAATGTTTCAGAAAGCTTATCTAGAAAACATTCCTAACTTTTCATGGCACAATGACTTTAGTACTCAACTGACTGGTCTCTTAGGTACCAACCACCAAGCTGACTGGCTTCCAAAAGGAGTAAAATAAAGACTGTCAACTAATGTAACATTTTAATCCTAATTTGATGTGTAAAGGACTGGAAATTTAACTGAAAAAATCATGAAGGGTTTTATGGCATGTTCAGGAACAGTCTTTACCAATATTGCTAGCAGCTTTTACTTACTAGTGTCAGGATATGGGGGTCAGTAACAGTTTAAATTCCATTTCAGAACAGGCACACAGGAATGTAACCACAGCTAAGCAAACTCTGAGCAAAGTAACTTTCAAGCAATGTTTTCAGCCCTGATTTATCTTTTTGAGACAGCTTTCTGCTGTTTCATGCAAGACAAGAATCAAGGTGTTCATTTATTTTAGATTCCAAAACCTCAGTTCCACAGACAGGACAACTGACATTTTTATCCTGCCTCACAGGATTGCTAGAACTTGCAGAGGACTGTGTAAATTCAGCTTTGGTTTTCATAGTTGTATTTATACTTGAAGTGACACCAGTACCCCCTTTTTTAATGAAATACTTTTCAAAGGCAGTTTTGTCTTCCATTTTTGGCCATCGCTGTGGTGTATTAATACATTCTAAGCTTTTTTTCTCAGATGCAACCTGAGCTGTTGTTGTCTGCTCCAGACAAATTTGTTTGGGTGGCCAGTTGGGAGACGGCAGAGCCCTCTTATTATTTGCAGAGCCTTGGTTTGATTTTAATTCCCTAACGTGAGCCATTCTAGCAGGCAATCCACTATCATTCTCGTAATCTTCTGTGTTAGCAACAGAGAGTTTAGGAAACTCATGCTTTAAAGTTAAGTTGATCTTCTCACTGCCATCATCGGTATGAAGTGGAAAGATGCCACTATGGGGTAATTTTTCAAATTTTATCTCATTTTTAGGGATTGGTCTTTTCCTTACTGCTGAATGATGCTGTGAACCATGTGCTTCACTGTTTCCAATGCTGCTGCTGGCATTTGTGTCTTTTTCTGAAAGTACACTGTCTCCTCCTCCAAGCCGGTAACCCATTCCACTAAAAGGCATCAGATCTTGAGTACCATGCGTTTGTGTCTTGCCTGCAAAATAAGATTAAAAAAAAAATTAGTAACTTTTCTGTTTAAAAATCATGGGCTTAATATTTGACATGCTTCATACAAAACCTCTGCTACCTGAAAACAGTGCATCAAACAAAACTTTATTTACAGACAATTCAGTCGAGAAGGAGCCTAGAAATGCACAAAAAACTCAGGTCCTATTCTTTGCTAGATAACAGTAACATCTAAACAAAGCTTATGTAGTGGTTGGTCCAAAAATGTTCCAAGAAAACATCTGGAAAAAATCAGTTTGGAAAAGGAAAAGAAATAATAAAATACCTTTGTTCTTTGACTTGAAATGTGGAAGTTTTGCTGTCTCAGTTTTATGCTTTGATTTCTTAGAGAACTTCTCCGGCTCTTTCACTTTTGTGAATGTGCCTCCACATGTCTTTTGATGGTCATCCCACCAGAGGTCGTGTGCAGAGGGTGCCCTGTTCATCGAGCGCTTCACATACCCAAAATAAGGTCCTCTGTTTTGACAGGGGCCATTGCATCGCCACCAGTGCTGGCGGTACACATCAACCTCATCATAAAAGTTATGATAAATCTAAGTAAAAAAAACAAAACGAAACAATAAAACGGTCAGTCAGAAAGTTTCTATTTTTATATCAGTAGCTTACAATATTTTTTTTAAAAATCCATTACCGGTCCATTTTTTCCACTACTGCTGTGATTTTTACATTACCAGTTAAAAGAGTTGGAGCCAGGTAAAATTTGATCAACATTTAGCTACCATTAAAACAAAGCTTAAAAAAAAAGGACAAGATGTGTAGGAATATGTCCTGGCTATCTTGTTTGAACTGCAATAAAATCACTTTGGAAATCTATCTACAATTTCACCCTGAGCGACAAACTGTTTAGAATGCATAGCAAACCATACCAGTATTCTCCCTTCAGCTACTACCTTAATTGATCTTATCAGATACATTATTTTAAAGTATCACCGACATAAGTATCATTAGCTTGTACTGATATAAAATAACTATAACTAAAATACACTGTTCTTCCACCAATACTACTCCGAACATGGAGCTATCCCTGCTATCATTAAGCTTAAAGAAAAATACTCACAGAGAGTATACTTGAAAATTATACAACTAACAACTCACCACATCTTCCTCAACCTGTTCCCACCACTGTCCCCAACAAAATAACTATGGAACTGGCACACACTTGGAAGCAAATTTGTACTGGTACCAACTGTTGAGTGTCTGGCAAGAACAAGCATATTACTCATACCACACTGGGCAACTAAAACACCAAATCAGGAAGAAGGCTCTATTAAATCAGGTTAAGAGGATTATGCTTACTGTGACATGGGCTCCAGTCAAGCGATTAATGCGACGCATGTGTTTGCAGAACTCTGGTCCATGAGATTCACGATCTTTGTAGTTATGAGTAACAAAGAGCAAGGCATGGATCATTTCATGCAACAGTGTCTGAAATTATGCAAATCATTAGATATTTATGGACAAGCCATTATGTATAGTTTCAAAATTAAGCTGCAAGTATTTTAGTCCTCTACATTGATTGCGACACCGATCTTATCTTTGAGCGTTCACATGTTCAGTGTGGGTCACGAAAACATAATAAAACCAAATTCCCATACTATCAAAACATACTGGAGAAAATTTCTACAATAAGTGACATTCCAAAAAGAAGAAATAATCCTCAAACTTAAGTCACAAATTATTCCCTCTACAATCCAAAAAAAGAGCCACTTGTGAGAAAGCTGAAACTCTACAGCATTTCTGTTCATTAGGCAAATCTGAATGTTCAGTCAGCTCAAAGAAGCAGTTCTGACAGAGGCACAACAAGCAACACAAAGTCATATTCTATATCCATATTTTCTGCTGTTGGCCCTTTCAAAACTACAGTCCATGTTTGTTTTGAACACTGAAGGATAATTTAGGAGTTAAAAACCTGGGGTCTTTTTTTCTCTTTACAAAGTCAGTAAAATAAACAAGTGACTTCAGACTCCTACTTGAAGTTGTCCATTTAGAAACATAAAACTAAAGACTACCATGATATTGCAACACAAGCCACACAAACATAACAGTAAAGCCATCACTATTTTATGATCTATAAGTTACTGTCTGTAAGAATCTCACTAAGAAATGTAAAATGTTCATATGGAGCAAGGCAGGGGGGAGGCACAATAAATTTTATGTGCAGATTCATGACCAGTCTTCAAATACCTCAACGAGATCCTTCCTTGGTCTTAACTTTAGTAGTGGCTCACTCAGACGAATGGAACACAATCCACTTTTTTCATGATATGTACAGATTCCAGCAGAGCTGAAAAGAGAGGCAGGAAGAAAATACAAAAATCTACTTGTTTCTGTAGTACATGAAAAAATGGAGAATTTAAGTTAAAATGCCATCCCCTTCCAACACACGCTAGGTCACTCAGAATATGAAAAAACCAGCAAAGAAAAAAACCCGACAAGTACCTTAGAGTAGAAAAACCTGTTTAGGAGGCAGAGGACTGTTTCCTTTGGAACTCGTGATGGAGTGAAATGCACTAAATGGAGGCTAGAGATTCACAGCAGCAAACACTGACTTAACTGCTGGTTGCTTCAATTTCACTCCTCACCCTCCCTAAATTTTTGACTCATACTAAACCATCACTTCTGTGTGCTAATCCATCAGAAAACACTTGTTTGTTTTTTTTTTTCTTTTTTGTGTTACTGAGTTAGTCCTCTACCAGTTCAATATCCAACGACTTTCAAGTGTCTAAAGAATAGCGCAACCAGCAGAGGATATGACAGGGCAGAACTCCAGCCACCAGCAAGTGCACCTTCTGCAGAACTGCACCCCGCACCTCAAAGCTTTCTGGTTTTGTTTAGTCTCAGATTCTTGTATGTTCCCCTTCCTAGTCTATTCTAAGTTTTGCTGATATACCATTTTTCGTTCATATTTGCCTCTCTGCTGTGCTGTAAAACTATCGCAAACACTGAGAACCAGAGCAGCAACACGAGTACGTGAGGTTTCCACAAGTGTCAAGGGATTCCTTCCAGTTTAACATCTCTCCGGGCTTGCCCGCACCCCGGGTAAAGCCACTGATAGCTGCCAGGGACGACAGACGAAAGGCAAAGAAGACGATGACAGCGACCCACCCATGTCCTGCTGTGCCAGCTATACCAGGGATGCGGGACATTCAAGTATCTGGGAAGAGAAGCACCGCGCGCCTACGGCGGCACAAGTAGGAGCAGCACGCAGTGACAAACGATAGCTCTTCCTCCCTTCCCCGAGACTCCCAGCCATGCTGCTCGAGGGGTGACGGCCTCTTCCCACAGCTCTGATCCCCCACCGGCAGCTGCCGGGGCCCGTCGGAGGCACGGCGGGCAGCTCCCGACACAGAGCGGCGTCACCGTACCACCACCCGCCCCCCGGTGCTGCACCTGGTCATGCGGGGGCTCCAGGACACCGTGACAGCCTCCAGCTTCCTCCAGAAGAGCGTCTGGTTGAAGTGCACGAACAG